ATTAAAATTAAATTCAAGAGGGAAAATAAAATAAAATTGAAGAGAGAGATTAAAATTAAATTCAAGAGGGAGATTAAAATTAAATTCAAGAGGGAGATTAAATTCAAAAAGGAGAAAAGAGCCTCCTGCTGGGTTATGGGGAGGCAGAACATTTTAAAAATGGGCATTTAGAAAATGTCCTCACAAGCTGACAAACCTGTGTTGAATCCTCCTAATTTTGGGGGATTTTGAAGCAAATTTGGTTGATCTGAACCTTTTCCAACCTGAACAATTCCACCACCCCAAAGTGAGGAAGGTGAGGGGCTGTGGGGCACTGAAAAAATCTTCACAGAAAAATCTCTCCAGAAATGTTTTCCTGTGTAGATTATTTCCTGTTACTGTTTGAAAATTAAAATTAAATCCAAATTTCCACCACTACAGGAAAACCCCTTTGCATCCGGCTTTATCATTTAGATCAAGAAAATTAATGTCTTTCCACAAGTGTTGATAAGTCTTTGGGAATTTTAATTAATGAGCATTCAGTTTTCCCTCTAATAAAAATAGATTTGCCCTATAGACTCTTCAGGAAGATTTTTGACCTCGATATTTGATATTTTTATCTTTTAATAAAGATAAAGACTAGGATATTAAAGGTTTGTAGGAATTCTCTATGTGATGCTTCTGTTCCCTCTCAGAATCTAACAAAACAATCACTGATTTTTGCTTTTTTTTTTTTTTTTTTTTAATTAACCTCACTCCTGCGAGTGCATTATTTTAATTTATAGCTTGGCAGGTTTTTGTCTCTGCCAAAATCTGGTGGTTGTGAAAACGGTTTCACGCAGGGATGTGTCTGTGTGTGCAAACAGGAAGATTTCTCCTGAGGAACTGGAGAGGAAACGTCAGGAAATGATGGAAAATGCCAAGTGGAGGGAGGAGGAGAGAGCCAAAAACCTGAGGAAGCACCGAAAGGAGGAGGAGCTGGAGAGGGAGCTGGAGAAACTCGACTCCAGGGATGGGAAATTCTTCCAGTGAGTCTTTCATTCCTTCCTCATCCAAGGGGAAATTCAGATTTTTGGGGTGGTTCAGATCGTCTCCCTGACAGAAATGCTGTTCCCAAATTTCCCCTCCGCTCAAAAAAATTCAGATTGTGGCTTGGAAATTGAGATCGTGGCTTTAAAATTGAGATTATGACTTGAAAATTGAGATGATGGCTTTGAATTTGAGATTATGGTTTGAAAATTGAGATTATGGCTTTAAAATTGAGATTTTGTCTTGAAAATTGAGATTATGGCTTTAAAATTGAGATTATGGCTTTAAATTTGAGATTATGGTTTGAAATTTGAGATTATGGCCTTAAAATTGAGATTATGGCCTTAAAATTGAGATTATAGTATTAAAATTGAGATTATAGTATTAAAATTAAGATTGTGGCCTTAAAATTGAGATTATGGCTTTAAAATTTAGATCATGGCCTTAAAATTTAGATTGTGGCCTTGACCATCTCCCCGTGGCTGACAGAACTGCTGTTCCCGAATTTTCCCTCAATCCAAAAAATTAAAATTATGGTTTTAAAATTGAGATCATGGCCTTAAAATTGAGATCATGGCCTTAAAATTGAGATTATGGCCTTAAAATTCAGATCATGGCCTTGACCATCTCCCTGTGGCTGACAGAACTGTTCCCAAATTTTCCCTCTCAACCCAAAAAATTGAGATCATGGCCTTGCACATGAAGGGACCTTAAACCCCATCCAGGGTCACCTCCCACTGTCCCTGCCCAAGGTGGGATCACAAAATCACAGAATTTGGAACATTTTGGGTTGGAAAGGACCATAAACCCCATCCAGGGCCACCTCCCACTGTCCCTGCCCAAGGTGGGATCGCAAAATCACAGAATTTGGAACATTTTGGGTGGAAAATGACCTTAAACCCCATCCAGGCCCAAGGTGGGATCACAAAATCACAGAATTTGGAACATTTTGGGTTGGAAAGGACTTTAAACCCCATCCAGGCCCAAGTGGGATCACAAAATCACAGAATTTGGAACATTTTGGGTTGGAAAGGACTTTAAACCCCATCCAGGCCCAAGGTGGGATCACAAAATCACAGAATTTGGAACATTTTGGGTTGGAAAGGACTTTAAACCCCATCCAGCCCAAGGTGGGATCACAAAATCACAGAATTTGGAACAATTTGGGTTGGAAAGGACTTTAAACCCCATCCAGGCCCAAGGTGGGATCACAAAATCACATAATTTGGAACATTTTGGGTGGGAAATGACCTTAAACCCCATCCAGGGCCACCTCTCATTGTCCCAGGCTGCTTCTGGGACATTCCCTGCCCAAGGTGGGATTAGAAAATCACAGAATTTGGAACATTTTGGGTTGGAAATGACCTTAAACCCCATCCAGGGCCACCTCTCATTGTCCCAGGCTGCTCCTGGGACACTTCCAGCCCAAGGTGGGATCACAAAATCACAGAATTTTGGAACATTTTGGGTTGGAAATGACCTTCAACCCCATCCATGCCCACCTCCCCCTATCCCAAGCTGCTCCTGGGACCCTCCCAGCGATCCCTCCTCTCTGGGAATCCCATCCCAGCCCCTCCCAGGCAGGAATCCCACCCCAATTTCCATTTTCTGCTGCAGATCCGCCGTCCCTCAGTGCCAGGCTTGTTGTGATTTGTGTTTTTGCAGCCGTTTGAAGCTGGAGAGTGCCTCCACCTCCAGCCTGGAGGATCGAGTCAAACGCAACATCCACTCCCTGCAGAGGACTCCTGCTGCCCTGGAAAAGAATTTTATGCAGAGGTGAAGCCTGAGCTGGCTGGATTTTGGTTCCCGGAGGTGAGAGAGCTCTGCAGGAACAATTCCAGCTCCCCAGAGCGTTGAGGGGCTCCGAGTTTGGAGATTTTGTGTTTTAATTCTCAGCAGAGCTGCTGGTGTCACTTTTGTACATTATTACCAAACTTCCTGCCAGTGCCAGGGTCGAAGATTTATTTTTGTTGATCCTCAAAATGCAGAGCAGAACAGTGGAACCACCAAATGGAATTTGAGAAAAGCACTCAAACCCTGTTCCACACTTTCACCCTTTGCACCCACCCCTGGCAGCAGCTCCTCGGTCCCTCTCGCGTTTATTTCATTAATATTTGACCCCAAAAAAATCTGTTTATGAGGGGTGTGGGGAGCAAAAGGGCAACGAGCAAGAGCGCAGCTGGCACGGCAAGCGTTTCTCTGGGATTTTCTAATGTAAGTAATGTGTATATGTACAGCAGCGTAGATTTATTTGACATTTTTAATTAACAAGCTTGGCTGTCCTTTGTTGAACACCCTTCGTGGGAGGTGCAGGGGTGGGTGGGAGGGCTCGGTGAGGGTTCGGGGGGCCGCAGCAGCCGCTTCCCGGCTGTGTGCAGCCCCGGGACCGGCGTCGGGGGGTCCCGGTTGTCGCCCCGAGGGTCCCGGTGGGGTCCCCGAGGGGGCGCGGTCCCTTTAAGGGACGGCGCGTGACGCGCGGAACAGCCCATTCATAAATCCAGCCGCCTCGCTGCTGATTGGTCCGTTCCACAGCGGGGCGTGGCTCTGGCACAGCGATTGGACGAGACCATCTCCAGTAGGAGGGAGGAGGGAACGGGGTTTTTTTTTTTTCCCCCCCTCTCTGTCTCTTTATCCGCCCGTTATCCCTCTCCGTTGTTCACCCTCACATCCCAGCGCTACCGCGGCTCTGCCGCATCCCGAGCCGCGCTTCTCTCGCCGGTATCACCCACCGCTCCCCCTCCACCCCGCTCGGGCGGGACATGGCGCCTCCCGCTCCGCACCCCCTCACCCCGCCGCCATCTTGGCGCCTCCTCAGCGCGGGCTGGCGGCGGAGCGAACCACCACGGCTGGGGGGGGACACACATGGACCGAACCACCGCGGGTAGAGTGGGGGGAGCGGCGAGCCTAAAGCTGAACAGCTGAACGGGCCGGGCCGTACCACTGCGGCGGGGAGATGGGGGGGGGAGCGGGCGGAACCATGCGCGGGTAGGGGGGGCGCGGGGAGGGGGTCCGCCATGGCCGCGAACTGCGCGGGGGCCGCGGGGACGGCGGCGGCGGCCGTGGGCTCGGCCGTGGGCTCGGCCCTGAGCGCCAGCAAGACCAAGACCAAGAAGAAACACTTCGTGTGTCAGAAGGTGAAGCTGTTCCGGGCCTCCGAGCCGCTGCTCAGCGTCCTGATGTGGGGGGCGAACCACACGGTGAGAGCGGGCGGCGCGGCGGCTCCCCCACCCCTCAGCCAGCCCCACCTCGGAGCCCTCAGAGCTGGGAGAGAGCCCCTCAGAGCGCCCCGGCAGCGGGGCCTCGGCCCCTTCAACCCCTCATCCCCTTTCATCCCCCTCAGCAATGCCCTCATCCCCTTCATTCCACTCGTGCCCCTCATCCCCCTCAGCAATGCCCTCATCCCCCTTATCCCCTTCATTCCACTCACACCCCTCATCCCCCTCAGCAATGCCCTCATTCCCCTTATCCCCTTCATTCCACTCACACCCCTCATCCCCCTCAGCAATGCCCTCATCCCCCTTATCCCCTTCATTC